CCCCCCCTCCTCAGGGACCCCGCCGGGGACATGGGCAACGGGATGTGCTCCCGAAAACAGAAGCGGATTTTCCAGAGCCTCCTGCTCTTGACGGTGGTGTTCGGGTTCCTCTACGGGGCGATGCTGTACTACGAGCTGCAGGGCCAGCTGAGGAAGGCGGAGGCCACGGCGCTCAAGTACCAGCAGCACCAAGAGTCCCTCTCAGCTCAGTTACAAGGTACTGACCTCGGCAGGACCCTCTGCTCCTTTCCTAAGGCTTGTAGAATACCTTCCTCCTCTTCCTCTGGGCAAGTCCGGGCTCTTGCTGTCCAGCCACTCACAAAGTTTTGCTCCTTAAGTGCTTCTTCCCCTTCTCTCCCCTCCAGCCCGTGGGGTTTCGGCATCGGGGCCGTGGGTGGGATCCCAGCCCTGCTGGAGTCACTGCGGGTTTGTCACAGGCTTTTACAGAGCTCTCATTCCCCCTCGCTCCCACACGTTTTATGGAGTGACTCTTATTCCCAAAGGACAGCACATCACTTGGCAATTCCGGGTATAAACAGAAAAGGCAGGCACTCTGCTGCTCACCTGGCACTGCACACCAGTGTCCAGTTCTGGGACTTCTGTGTGCTTCTGTGTTGTCTCAGCAGTGTTAGTTTTGTGCTTCTGAGAGAACATTCAGCTGAAGTGCAAGGCTGCCATTCCTGGGCAGCATAAACATTAAATAGCTCCAGGAAAGAGAGGAGTATTCTAATAAAGCATTTTGTTTTTAAAAGGTATTTTGAAAGAAAGTTCAAATAGATTATTTGGAAAAGTCTATTCTGTTACTTTTGGAGTAACCTAATTTCTTGACCTAAGGATGCCACATAAATACAGATCCGTGTGTGTCTTGGTTTAAGGATGCACCAAAGGTGGGAGTCCTGTAATTGAAGATGAAAAGATGCTGATGTCTGAGATCTGCATGTCCAAAAATCAGATGCAAAGCAGCAGATACATACATGAAGTGTATAGACATCGGTGTTCTAGAAGGTGCAAGACCTCAGCACCTCTCTGTCACTGCAAGATGATGAGGTTGGCATATACAAAGTCCAAAGCAAACTTCAAAAACTTGTTTTCTTTCTCAGAACAGATTAAAACACGAATAGGAGTGGTCTGCTCTGGCAGCTGTACTCGTACTTAACTTCAGGGTGATCTCCTACCAGAATTTTCACTGTAGAATCCTAGATAAAAGCATGCCTGGAAGCACACAGTTTTTATCCAGAGAGTGCAGAATTGGGCTTATGCTGGTAGATTCTTACAGTGATTTGTTACTTTAGTGTGTTTAGCTACAATCTGAGACCATCATTACTTAGCATTTCAATTTCAGGCCATTTCCAGGTAATACTGTGGAAAAAATGGACAGAAACCTTCATTTTAGTCACAAAATGTTTGGCTGAAAGATGAATATGCGGCAGATGCCTAAAGGGCTACTTTTGCTAGTCTGTCTGTTTGCCAGCAGTATTTGAAGAGGACACAGGAGCATCTTGTTCTCAAGCTAACATTCAACAAGTTAGCTTTTTCCTGTTGCTCTTGCTATACCAGAGAGGTATACTTTATTCTAACAGTGGTGAGATTCTCTTGATCAGTTATATTTTGTCTGGACTGTTAGTTTAAACTTCCCACTTCTGAACATTTTCAGTAGCCATCATCTATCCGAGCAAGTTCACGGGAGCAGCAGGCAACTAGTAGTTGGCAAGTGCAGTGACAGTGCTGCATTTTGTGGAAGTATTCTCTTGCTTGTTTCAGTGTACCAATGAGAAATGCAAAATATGGACCAGAGTCTGAAAACGTTAATAGATTTGATTATCAATGCAATAAATTCACGTGGTTCTGGGACCTGTGCCAGTGTATCAAGCCTATTAAGGAGGAGATCTTATCTGTACCTAGTATGGTGGCAGTAAGCCTTGTTTAAAAATAAATTGCTAGCTATTAAGTCACAGAATACAAGGGAAAACATAATCTAACAATAAAATTGGTTGTTTAAATTTTTCCTATATTGTGGCAATACTTCATATACCTAAAAGAAGGTGAGGCCAGAGACATACTAAAAGCAGCAGCAAGCATCAGATGCCTCATCTCCCACTGAAGTAAATGGAAGCTACATGCCTGAGGACTTTCTGTCTCTGTACATTTAATTACTCTTCCTGGGATGGCCTGCCCTGTATCATCGCTTGGATTTTTGAAGTAGCAGATTATTAGTGAGAACAGAGAATTTGGAACCTGTGCCTGTGCCCACTTGGGCAGAGACACACAAGCACTATGCTGACTGCTGACGTACAACATCTAAACTGAACCTTTCCTATTTAATTCTTTGATATGGAACAACAGGAAGGAATTTTCCATAAACAGAGACTTTGAAATAGACCATAAAATACTGATAGGAGAGCCTGTATTTGCAGGTGCAGTATCTGCCTGCACTTTGAACTCCTGATTTTTAAATGGATTATTTTAAATCAACAATGCCAAACAAACAAACAAAAACAAACCCAAACAACCTCTCTGAATACCCAGGCTACAGCTCTTTGCTGTCCTTAACAACACCAGAGAGATTATTCTTTCAAGGTTATTATGAGAACAACAAAATGTAGCAATAGTAAAGCAGTGAAACTTACCTTTTCCCTGCAGAGTAATCCATTTCTCTATGGATACTGCTCTGGAATAACTTCAGATAGCTGAGGTGGCAGCAAAATATCTCCTGTTTTCTGAACTTTGTTGGCTTTTGTTATGACTGCTGGGGCCTATAAAGATAGTTGCTTTCCTGATTGTGCACAGAGGAACATTGTTAGGGCTTCTGGGTGAAATTAGAGTCAGTTTGTGAAATGCTTAAGGATCGTGGGTAACTCCTGAGTTTATGTATAAGGTCACAATTTTATGCCTGGATGCCTTTGGTCTGCCCAAAATCTCAAGGAAGATCCTCAGATGTAGCGTGGAGTGTAGCCTCCCTTCACTTCCTTCTATTCCCTCTATTATTTTTCTGTCTCTGTACAGTTTTGGGGTTTTCATCTATGTAGGTAATAAACCCCTTCTTTTTAATATTTTCCAGTTCTTCATGCCTGCATCAGCAGTGTTTTCTGGTTCTGTTTGAAAAGCCAGTTGTCTTAGATTTTTATGTTTTTCATTTCCTTGTTTTGCTCAAACGTAGCACGTGAACCAGGCTGGATCTTCTGTACACGTGGGGAAAGCAGCACTGTCATCTACCAAGGCAGAATATTCAGATCATTGAAAAGCGGTGCAAGAAGAGATCACAAAATTGTTTAGCCTCTATACCTGATCTGAAGAAGGCTGCATGTCACTGTTGTTGTAGGAAGTTCTGCTGGTTTGGGTGTTTGCAGCTTCAGGTACTCAGCTGAGAAGTCTTAGTGCCTCTTGAAATGAGACCAGGGTGTGCTTGGAAGGACAGCAGACTTGGGAAACACGTTAAGAATAACTGGGTTGGAGAAGCTGGGATCTGAAGCTTGCTCCTTTAGACAGTTCATGCTTTAGAAGATTTGGTATTTGAAAGCTAAACTTCCCACAGAAAAATATGTCCAACTTTGGCATTTTTGTCTCTTTAACAAAGTTCTGCTGGGCATGGAGAAAGTAGGGCTGCTGTTGTAACCCACAGGGGGTTGACAACAAACAGACAAAGTTGAGAGATGATGCAAAATTTCTGGGCCACTGAGAATACCTGGAGTCATTATTATTTGTAAGCTCTTTCCTAGAGAAGCTGATCTTCCCAGTAAGCTGATTATTTGGAATCTCATTCTCTGGGCATTATATGTCTGAAACATTAAGATAATCTTATTTAGTATTTCTTAAAATGATAAAAACAAAACTTGACATTCTTTGCCTCCTATAAAGATGTGTCAAACTGAGTCTTAAGGTATGTGCTGTACAGGAACAGGCTTCAGTGGCTAGAACAGATAGTGCACTGACAGCTGTAGATGAACCTGATTGTTTTTCTGCTTGAAGGCTGAACGTATCTATAAATGTCTTTTTAGGCTTTACAGCCCCTGTCTTACCATCCTCTGGGTATTAAATAACCCCTTCTGTACTATTTTAATCTGTTTAATCTGTTTTAATCCCTAATCCTAATAACAGCCTAAATTTAGTGCCTTTTACTACCTGAATTTTCCTGCTCTTTCTCTTTGAGTCTTAACGTATCTGATGCCTTCAGGTAATCTCTGTGCAGCCTTAGATCATGCTGTAATCCTGGGAGTCAACCCTGCAGGGATTCTGAATTTGAGAGTTCAGAGTTTGCCCTCTTGTAGACAAGGTGTGGGCTCCCTCAAAGCTATCTCCTCCAGCACTAGAAAGCACCAGTTGAAAAGCAATTGCAGAATTCCTCTGTGCCTGTTGTTACACTGCTTGTCCTAAACTGAGGTCCTCCTTGGAGATGACCTACTAGAAGTTGATCAGATCTACAGCAGTTCTAGGTACAGAGACTTACATAATGCATCACAACACTAGATGAGAGAGTTCTGTGTAACTGTAGTGGTTAATATTTATTATGTCTGTCAGCATGCTGACTACGTAGAGGCCAAAACTGTCCTTAGTGAAGTATGTACAGATGTGGATGTATCACCTTGCACCCCTTTTCCCTTTGTTTTTTTTTTTTCTAGTGCTCTATTTAAATTTGTATCTTAAGTTGGCAGAGCTAGGAAGAACTGACAGAACTTTTCATGGTTTATTTTTCACATGCATCATGCAAGTAGAGCTACACCTGTGCTGTTCCTGTGGGATCTGATTGTTCCCCATAACAACAGCCATCTGAATTCCTGTGATTGCTGTTAGTTTCAGATTGCACATAACACCACAGTGCTGCTTCTGATTGCGTTTGGTTGCTGTCTGAGATCTGAAGGATCCTTGGTAGCACTGTTGTGGTTTGGGGCTAACAGGACAACAGAGAACCAGCCACGTGGCTGTTCACTCAACTGTCCCCCCACGTACACACACACTGGGATGGGGAGGACAAAGGCCAACTAGAAGCTCATGAGTCAGGTGAAAGGCCAAGGAGGGTTCTTCACCGATTAAGGTCACGGCTGCTTTGGGAACAGTCACCTCTCCTGCCATGGGGTCTTCCACAGCTGCATCATCCAAACCCACTGGCAGCAAATCAGAGTTCACCCCTTCTGGTACCTTCAGGGAATGTCCCACCACGTTCCTCCATGAATGCAGAGGGACAGCTGCCATCTTGCCATGGGTTGCAGGGAAACTTAGGCT